AGAGACTATTCCTTGGCCCCTACCCTGCCTCTTGTTTTTTTTCCCCAAACCAAGATTCTTGGGCCAAGAACAGAGGAATTGTGTTCCAAGTCTGTAGTTCTCGGAGGCCCTAGTTTCGTCTGGGTGCTACGCGTCAGAAGGATCCAGGTGTATCAATTATTCTGCCCATGCCTGTATGGCGCCTCTTCAATCACTTGTGTCCCCTTGTTTGTGAAGCACAACAGAGTGTGCTTTCAGAAGGAGCCTTTTGTATTCCTAGAGTCTAAAAATATTTGCATGTAAATGTTGGGAATCCAGACAGTCTCCTTAAGATCTAACACTTTGCATGGGGAGGCATACAGACCACTGGGCACATTTGCAAGCTGAATTTACACCCATTGCACCTTGTGTCCCTGCCTCATAGCATTTCGGTGGCATCTGAGAAAGAGTGTGACATTGATCCAGGCAAAGCATAAATAACCACATTTCAAAATGAATACTAATTGCATAATGACAGTTTCCAAACGATTAGCCTACTTTACAAAAAAAGTTAATTCAACACAAGCCCAGAGCTGGCTGTTTCTTATGTGTTGTGCTGCCAGTTGGCAGGCACCGCTTTGCAAGGGGATTGGGGGAAATGAGGGTTATTGTCGTTGGAAGCACACTCGGCCTTTTGTGAGGAGGGTACAAACTGCATCACTCTCTCAAGTCCCTGCTGTTCAGCGTTCAGGAGTGGACACCAGGATCCTTCATGCCTTCAGGGGGAGTTGCTTACTTTTCCTAGAGGTAAAATGGCTCAGTGCCGAGACGTGAGGAGGAGACTTGAGTTTGTAGCCCCTTGAAGGAAAGAGTTCTGGGAAGATGGAAGTGAACAGCACTGAGGAGAGGAACCTGGGCTAGTGTGTGGCCGCCCCCACCCGCCAAGCTGGGAAATCCTGGGCCCCAGGGAGAGGGCATGGCCACACAGAGCCTGGCCTTCTCTGGGATGAACTGGGCATGCTACCTCAGGCCGGCCATTCCACCGCTCCTGAAGGCCTGTGTTCCCCTCATCTGTAAAATGAAGGGAGTGGGCTGGATTATCGTGAAAGTCCCCTCCGGTTCAGGGAGAATACCAGCATGTGTCTCTTCCTTTAAGCTGAGTGTCCCCCAGAAGAAAGGCCCTTTGCTTGGAAAAGTGGCATGACGTGATGGGACTGGTTCAGCTGTCACTGCTGTCTTTTTACTGCAGGAATTACAAAGGAGTGTGTCTCCCTTGCCAAACCGACGGGATCTTGTGTGAAAATACTCATGAAGGCAAAATGAAAAAGTGCCTCTGAAGAAGCTATCTGAGGCAGGGGTTCATTCTCTTTGGGACATCCTGTTGTATTGACTAAGTGGGAGGGAGCATGAGAAAAGCCACAAGAAGCATCATCTCGATCAGCATTCTTAGAAAGAAGGGTATGGGGTGAGGGTTATGCTATGATATCATTTGCCTCCAGCAAGTGTCCCCTCAAGGTTAGAGAAGCGCAGTTTATGTACCACTTTCTACTGACTCCTCCGCCCCCTCCAATAGGAGGCCCTGATTTATGGGATTCAAATTAGACAGAGTTGAATTTACCAGTCAAGAGATTCACGGAATAACTCTATTATTGTACACCATTATTTTACTTTCAGATTTTCACCAATTCCTAGAGTCACACTGGCACCAAATGGTATATCCGTATGTGCTCAGAACGTGCCCGATTTTAGGTGTGACACCCCACGATCAGAATTTGGGCAAAAGTCTGATTTCTTTTGAAAACAACTCAGATCAAACTCCATTCCTTTATTTTTTACACAATTTATAGTAATTCCTCTCTTTGCTTACAAAGTCACTTTTCACACCTATTTCAAGGGAGAGTCCGTGTATGCTCAGCTAAAGAACTATTTTTAGTCCCTTCCTTCTTTGCCTTTTTTCCCTACTTGTTGTCTCAGTGATGGCTGAGATTTTGATTTCTCAGGCACTTCCAAGTTAGATCTCCAAGGTCTGACTAGATTTGTTTGAAACAAGATCCAGTTTGCATAAATCTAGTTTTAATCAAAAAGGCTTTATTTCCCCCCCAAATACTTCATATCTTGTTTTATTTGACCATGAAAGTTACTATTGTGAAAGCTCCCTGTCATGTGTTCTTCAATAAGAAATAACTTTAGAAAGAGCACATCCAGAATGATTACTGTAAAATGCCAAACCTCCTGTACTCCTCCTGAAATTGTGATTTTTACAGTTCAGCCCAAACTGCCATCTGTAAAGACTCTATCTCAGATAAACGTATTTGCTGATAGCCAGTTTCTAAAGATTTTTTTAATCAAAATAGTGTCCTTATATTAGAAAAAATTAATTTCTTATCTATGCCTTAGGGATATTTGAAATGCACTTTAAGAGGAATGCTCTTTGTGGGATTATTTTAAAAGACCTCTCCCTTTTAAAACCTAGACTGGGGGAACCTATTATCTGCAGAAATGTTTTGCATATTTCCTCTGCTCACATCCCACCCCCTTCCTTAAATCATCTGGCACCTGAAAGAAGTAGATATAATTTTAAAAATAGTACATATCACTTTTTTTAAAAAAAATTTATTTTTTTATTTGACAGAGAGAGAGAGAACACAAGCAGGGGGAACAGCAGGCAGAGGGAGAAGCAGGCTCCCCAAGGAGCAGAGAGCCTGACTTGGAGCTCGATCCCAGGACCCTGGGGTCATGACCTGAGCTGAAGGCAGACACTAAATCAACTGAGCCATGCAGGTGCCCCCAAAATAGTACATATGACTCTTGAAGACCCCATCTACTTAAGGGAAAGCATGTTCACTTTTTTGCTTTTGCTTTTTTCAGGCAGCCTGAGGGGAAAAAAAGTTCTATGTTCGCGTGTGTCAGACCCAATGTGAGAGTTAACGGCAGGATTTGTGTCCTGGGTACTTACTGTTTAACTTCGAATCTTAGCGTGGCAGGGCTGGATGGGGTCCTGGAACTTTGATTTATTTGTACAGACCCTGTAATTCCAAGAGGACTTAAAGCACTCAGGGACCTGATGTTTAACGAGAAGGAAAGTAGTCGACAATGGGAGAGAAGAACGGTTGTTTCAAAACTAGCCAGTGAGCTTGGGAATGGGCACGCAGATGCATTTCTGGATGTTCCTCCCTCCCAATGACCTCCTCACTGCAGGAGTCCCACATTAGATACAACTTCTTTGCTGATGTTTGACATCCATATATGTGAAGGGAGGGAAGAAAGGAATGAAAAGTATTGGACAACACTGCAAAAAATCGTATGCTTTCCCAAGAAAATAAAGCCTCCTTTCAAACTAGGAACATATAACCGCTGCAAAACTCGTCTTCGGGGCCTCCCCCTCCCCAACCCACCTTCGGGGAGAGGAAATTCTGGTGTCACTGTGACACCCTTATCTGAAGTCACTGTAGTCATTTCAGACCATATTGTGGTCAGAAAATGACCGTGCATTGATTGATCAAAAGCAAAAGTCCTACTGAAAAGAAAGTGTTTTAAGAATAGTGAGTGCTGTGAATTGTGCAAGACTATTGAATCACAGATCTGTACTTCTGAAACAAATAATGCAATATATATTAAGAAAAAAAAGGAAGATAGCAGGAGGGGAAGAATGAAGGGGAGTAAGTCGGAGGGGGAGAAGAACCATGAGAGACGATGGACTCTGAAAAGCAAACTGAGGGTTCTAGAGGGGAGGGGGGTGGGGGGACAGGTCAGCCTGGTGATGGGTATTAAAGAGGGCACGTTCTGCATAGAGCTCTGGGTGTTATGCACAAACAATGAATCATGGAACACTACATCAAAAACTAATGATGTAATGTATAGTGATTAACATAATAATACAAAATTAAAATAAAAAAAAAGAATAGTGGGCCTGGCCTCCTCCTTCTCCCTCCCATTTTTGGTTTTTTCATCCCTTGGCAGCTTTGCATGAAGACAGCATGAAAAAGCAAAGATGTGCTTCTTTTCAGTGAGTGCTAATTCTGGAACATTGTCCAGGGGACCATTTCTTGGATGTTGAAGGTGACAAAATATACCTGAAGTGGGACTGTCTGCCTCTGAGCTTGGGAAACTACAATAGGCTCTCGGGGCACCTGGGTGGCTCAGTCAGTTAAGCGGCTGCCTTCGGCCTAGGTCATGATCCCAGGGTCCTGGGATTGAGTCCCACATCGGGCTCCCTGCTCAGCGGGAACCTGCTTCTCCCTCTCTCTCCCTCTGCTTGTGCTCTGTCAAATAAATAAAATCTTAAAAAAAAAAATAGGCTCTCTTGGGCTGGGGGTGGGGATGGGGATGGGAAAACAGAGAAGAACCCCTTTTTGACCTTCCTGGAGCCCCTTCTTCTTTGAACCACAATGATTCCCATTTCCCCGATCACTTCCACAAAATGGAGAGCAGTGAACAGAATTCGGAATTTGGCTGTCACATTCCCTTAACAGCCCTGTGAGTAGCCTCTTAGGAAGTTTCTCTCCTAGTCCATGGCTGTTGAGCTCCTTGGCATGAATGGAACATGGCCCTGCCTGGAAACACACTGCTCTCTCATTAGAGACTCACCCCTTCCCATCTTGCACAGGGATATGCTCCAAACTGGGGGGGCGGGGATGAGGATTGTTGAAGACGGGGAGCGGGGGGGGGATGTGGAAGATTGTGTGGTCCTATAAACCAGCAGGGGCACTTGGAAAACTGCGGTGTTCATGGCCTATTGATGGTGACTCGGGACTCAGGGCTACTATGTTATGAAAGGAGGCCTTTTTGACATTCTGTTTGAATGCCATTCCCTTAGCAATTCACATGCATGCCCCACTTATCACATGAGGCACTCAAAACCCATAGTTTTTTTATTTGCAACTTTATTGAAAATAGAACATGCCCTACAAGAACAACAGGCACTGATTTTGTTCAGTTATTCAATTCATTTAACAGCTATTTGAAGAATTACTTGATGTGCTATGCACAATTTATATCTGGCAGAAAAAATACTTTGGAAAAATTGTCATAAAGACCATACTTCAGAAAATGGGACCTGCGAAATGACCATTGATGACAGGGGCCCATGCCATGCCTACAGGGGCCAGAGCAAAGGGAGGTACCGGTGGTAGAGGTGGCATAGGCATCATGGGTGGTCTGGGGGGCAGAGGTGGCCCACGGAACACAGGTGGCAGGGGTGGCCCAGGAGGCATGAACACCCGAGGCACCAGAGGAACCCATCTCCACCTGGCCTCTAGAATGGGGGTCGCACGATAGGGCCCATCAAAGATCATTCCCACAGGAGGCCCGAAGGCAATGGGGGCCAGATTTCTAAACATCAGGGCCCTCTGGTGTCTTCTCCACTTGGCCCTTCTGTTCTGAAACCAGACCTTCAATCATAGGGAAAAAAAGGATTGGTTTAGTACATTGAACAGTTAATGTCATAATAAGAAAACACACAACATGCAATGCTGCCATTGAACTTTTAAATGGCAGCAGGACAAAGTATTTTCTTATCGCTAAAATACCTTGAGAAAACAAACCACATACCTCCCCTCAGCTAACCCTTAGTGAGCCATGGCTAGTCCAGACTTGGGCACATTGATTTGTCTCTCTTCCCATTTTTAGTATTCTTTCGTGATTTCCCCCAACCCCAGGTCTTGGATGTAAGTCTAAGTGATAAAGTGCACTGGTTCCCTGATGTTTACGCCCATGCCTGGCAAGAGGGTAAAGAGACACTGGATCATCAGCTGTTGGGGCAAGTGTCACCCTGGTTAGGGGGGAGGCTGAGCATGGTATAAAGGTGGCCTGATGTGAAGTCATGCTGATGGGACCACCCCCTTTTCGAAACACTCCTCTTCAGTCTGAAGTTACTAATCCGTAGGAGCACACTGCAGTTTTAGACAGAAAATTTCCTTCAGTGATGTTGAAGGGACCATTCTTCTAAACCTTGTGAGAATTAAACAGGTGGTATGTCAAAGGAGGCCTGATCATGGGGTCCCAGGGACTGCCCTGGACATCAGAGTTGCTGAGGGCCCTCGACGCTGTTTTGCTATTTTAGCCTTTAGTGTTCAGGAAAAGTTTAACTTAACTGAATCCAAATTCAATAAACTTAAAATTTTTTCCCCACATAAGAGACTGGGTACCCCATTGTCATGACTATCAATTTTGCATGCTCCCATCTACCTTACCCTCCACACCTCCCTGGGCTCAGGAGCAGGTCAGCTCTTTCAGCTCTAACTACAGTTCTAGGATCCTGGACAGAAACTACTGTTACCCAGAGGGGTGGGGCACCTTAGGCCCTGACAGCTCCACTCCTTAACCAAGGAGACTCCAATCCCATCACTCATTCCTAAGGCCGGAAGGTCCAATTATGCATTTAAGGAAGATGTGCAACAACAATGGGGGGGGTAGGGCTCACAAAAGAGGCTCCTCTCTGAGTGTTTGCCAACTATTAACAAACAAACAGATGAAAAAGTTGTCAATTAGACTTTACTGTCCTCTTGGAATACTAGTTAATAGGGTTTACATTGTATTTAATCCTTTTGCAAGTTCCCAAACCGCAGTATTTTAATTGAGACAAAGGGCCTCCTCTCTCTGTGGGCAGCTACCTTTCTCCCTTCCATCTTAGGATTTGGGGTCCTGCTGCATGGATATATAGTCTGAAAAAAAGCCAGTGTAGTAGAGCTCATTTGGGAGAGATTCGAACGTATCGGTGGTGAAATCTCCCTAAACATAAATAAAGCCCACATCTGGCAAATTTTGCTATGGGCCAATATTAGGTCCATATTCCCAATACTGGTTTCATAAAAGAGGTCTACTATATTTGCAAAAGGTCGGGGGAAGCATCTATTATAAAGTTTCTTGGGAGGAAATTCATGCTGCAGAGCTTGAAAATATGTGAGAGCATAGTCTTCCCTGTTTGGATTTTCTGGCTCATTTCCCCTTCAGAAATCGATTGAGAGGACTGCATAAACCCAGGGAGGGGGAAAAGCAACTCAGCAAACCTTGTTTTTATTTTCCTCTGAGATTACTTTGCCTGCCTGAGAAAGTAGAGGACTTGTCCTATTTCTTTGATGTACCTATGATTTTCTATGACCTCAAATAGTCACCTATTTGAGCCCATGACCAACAAATTAATAATCACTTCCTGAAAAGTGCTTTAAATTAACACACGTGGGGCGCCTGGGTGGCTCAGTCGGTAAAGCGTCTGCCTTCTGCTCAGGTCATGATCCCAGGGTCCTGGGATCGAGCCCCACATTGAACTCCCTGCTCCGGGGGAGCCTGCTTCTCCCTCTCCCTTTGCCTGCTTCTCCCCCTGCTTGTGCTCTCTCTCTTTCTGTCAAATAAATAAATAAACAAGGGTTGCCTGGGTGGCTCCATGTTAAGTGTCTGCCTTCGGCTCAGGTGATGATCCCAGTGTCCTGGGATCAAGCCCTGCATCAGGCTCTCTGCTCCGCGGGAAGCCTGCTTCTCCCTCTCCCACTCCCCCTGCTTGTGTTCCCTCTCTCGCTGTGTGTCTCTCTCTGTCAAATAAATAAATAAAACCTTTAAAATAAATAAATAAAGTCTTAAAAAAAATAAATTAACACAAGAATCTGGCCTGAAATGAGAACACCCTCAAAATCAGATTCCAGAAAACCCACCTTTTCAAAATATTACCACCAAAAAGGGAAAAAAAAGTCTTAGAGTATTAAAGATTCCTCATGAGAATATTCATTTATACACTTGGTAGCTTCATAAAGTTGAATTTGTGTGACATGTACAATGCATATATTTGAATGTATACAATACTTCTCTAAACTTTCACCTCTTCTTAGGTCAGTGGAACTTTATTAAAATTGGGTCCCTTTTGTGGTTCCATTCTTTAAGACAATTTTCCTTTCCCCATTACTACCATAATCCTAATATTTTAGTAATGTTTCAGGCAGACATCAGAGTCTTCCAAAAAATTTAAATTTAAGGCTGTCACTCTCTATGCTGCTTTACAAAACATTTACAAAATGGCAGTAGGACCAGGCACTTGGGACTTTTAAGCTACCCTCCCACCCCAGTTTCAGTTTACTAAACATATATTAGTTACTCATGCACTGTGTTCTGTGTGTGAATTACTCTTTCACCCCAGTGTCTGAGTATTTATAAATTCACTCATTTCGCCAAGAGCTTCTACCTGGTTTTAAATATTTCAAATAATTTAGTATGGTTAAACCTTCTTTTAACCAAGCTCTTCAGTGCGTTAATTTGTAACTTCCCAGGTGGGATTGAGCCCCAACATGATCTTATGTAGAAATATTCCTTTAGAGAGGACTAACATCCTTCCTGAAAGATACCAGTGTTAAAAGGAGGTGAACTTTACTGGGGGAAAAGTGTGTGTGTGTGTGTGTGTGTGTGTATGGGTGGGGGAGAAGTGTGTTCGATTTTTTTTTCTGTTAGGAAATCATATTTCCTCTGGTAATGGGAAATTTCCAGAATCTCCAGCTTACCTGTCCCATTTCCCACCCCCAAGGCACCCAATGTTCAAAACTTATTTGTGAAATATGGAAAGGCAGCAAACCACACCAACTTCACAATGTCCAGAACAAAACCTCAAGTATGTTTTAGACTGGCGGCCCTGTGCCAAGTGCTCTTTTAAGATTTACTGACCTGCACTCTGGCTTCAGTCAAATTCAGACGTCTGGCAATCTCTTCTCTGACGGAGGAAAATTGCAAATGTTCAGTATTTGGAGTTGTGGATAAAATGAAATATGTCATGTATATTATTTCTACCCCCCTCCCAGTGCAGTTTTCTGTAATACAGCTTGAGGCTTGCTTTAGGGAGTTTTGCCACGGACAACTGTATTAAATAGGATAGAAAAAGGGAATATATATGAAAGTTCCTGGTAGTGTGTCTGTTAGTTGAATATGACTCCATCAATTTTTCTCTTTGTGGAACAGCAGAGAACAACCCTGGAAATCGTTTCTTGGGAGGTCCCTCTGTGAAAATAAAACGCCAAAAGCCTCTAAAGCGGAGTTTTGAACCAAAGTATTTGTTGTAAAGGAAGGGTTTATTGTAAAGGAAAAGGGGACCTCTCAAGAAGGAACTCCGAACCATCGGCCAAGCACTCAAGGGAGACTTTTTTTTTTCTCTCTTTGGCTGGCGAAGGCTGAATACAGCAGAACCCGAAAAAGTGCCCCGAAACCTCACACCGATACGTCCTGGTCCCCCATTCCCGCCGGGCAAGAATAGGCCTGCCCCTCCGTACACTCCCGCGATCCGACAACAAGCGTTCTTTGCTCGCTGGCTTTTAAACGCTCAAAACTCTGCTGCCAGGAAATAGCGCTCCACGTGGCAGGGCCGAGACTACGGCGAGGCGAGTGAGGAGCTCGCCTCGTGTGCAAAATTTTTAAATGCGCGAAAAAACTGAGCAATCACGATAAATATTCTAATGCAGTAGTCAAAATACAAATATTAATGCAAAAAACTCACGATGAGCAAATTACCAAAATTTTAAATAAAAGCGGGATCCGCCCTCCCTTACTCGCTTCACCCTAGTTCCGCTGCTGTCTCACGGCCCCGCAAGCTCTCTTAAGCACTGCCTCAAGCCCTGGGAGCAAGGACGGACCCTGGCGCCCTCGAACCCCCTAAGCGGCTTTTGGGTCAGGGGAGGAGGAAAAGGGTCCCGGGAAAAAGCCCAAGACTCCCGAGGCCCCTGGAGAACTGCGCGCCGAAGGGAGCAGCCACTTACCTTGCGAACACGTCGGGGTACTGAGTGCGATGGAAAGCGCCCTCCAGCTCCTGCAGCTGCAGCTGGGTGAATGCGGTGCGGTAGCGGCGCTGCTTCCTCTCCGCGATCAGTGGCCCCTGCACGGCCAGGGGGCCTGGCTCCTCCTGCTGCTGCTGCGGGGGCTCCAAGTCGCCCCCAACGCCACCCTCCTGATTTTCGTCGTCCGAGGAGCTCGGCTCTCCCGCGTTAACGCCGTCGGCCGCCGCCGCCGCCGCTTCGCGCTCAGGTTCGGACCGCGTATCCTCCTCTCCCCCCGTTAGAATCAATGAGCTCAACGTTGGCTTCGCATCTGCGAAAGGAAAAAAGCAAAAGAGAGGCCGGAGCGTCGGAGCCCACGCTGAGTGGGCTGGGGAGGCATGGGGTCGCGATGGAAGATAGAGGGCGACAGCCGCGCCGCGGCCCATCCACCCGATCCTCCCAGGGAAGTTCCTCTCCTGGAGTCTGCCAAAGCACCTGTCCCCGTCTAGGCACTGACCATACTGTTCCTCCTCCTCCTCGTCCCCCAGGTTGCGGTAGCTGGGGTTGTAGGGGTTGCACCCGAAATCACGCTCCATGCCCACAGTGCTGTCGATGATGCCTAGCGCATCCACAAATTCTTCGCTAGGGTCGGTGGCGATCCCTGGGTGGCGGCGGCGGGAGCTGGGACTAACCGTCCCGTGGGGCGCGCTTTTGGCGCCGGGACCTTTTCTGGCGCCGAAACTGAGACTTGCGCGCCTTATATAGGGGGTACGTTGCCTTCCGCAAGTTCAAAGTGTACGCGCTCGCGTCGGTTAGACGCCGTCTAATAGCGTTCACATTACCCCTAGGTGGTGTCGGTGAACCTGACGGGGGCGCACTGGCGGCTGGGGTGTGTAAGTAAAATAGGGCGAGTGTTTGCGAGAATGGGCATGCTTGTGTGGGGAACTGTGACTCCAAATTGCAATTTAACTGACTACTCCCAACTCGGACGAAATATGTGATTGGAGGATGGGGCTGTGCTGGATCGAGAAAGTCATTTTGGGGGGTGGGGGGGGCAAGACTTCGCTCTAGATCCCGGAGTTCGTGGAGGAATGTTTGTAACATATTCCTCCGCGCAACCTTCGATGTTCCCCAGACCTCAGAGGAAGCGGTGTCACTTGCTTCCTCCGGGGAAAAGACGGAGAGATAGGGATGCAGAAAGTGCGGAGCCCTCAGCGGCCCAAGCACGCTAAAGCGAAGTTAGTCTACCTTGCGTTGGGCTCTGAGCGCCGCTCTCCCCTCCTAGAACTTGGTGACTAGTGGATGGGATTGTTTGGTTCTGTTCTATTTGCACCCAAAGTCCGGGTATCAGGCTAGTGATTAAGACGAAACGATAAGCTTGGAGCCTCCTTGCACTGGGTTTTTGCGATCAGATCTCCTGTGTATTCCGGGAGCGGTGGTTTGTAGTCAGGTTTGCTGAGCAGTCCGGGTGCTCACATGCACGCTGCGAGAAACCCAACCTGTCTCTTGAGAAAGCTCCAAGGACTTCAGATTTTTAGTAATGAACCCACGTCAGAGTGCAAGTGTAGAACCCTGCCAAGTGCTTAGTGCATCCAAGAATGCCTATGCTGCACAGGCTCTTTCCTTCAGTTCCTGGCGTGTGCAAAGTTTGCCGTGCTTCTTATTGCAACCCCGTACTGCAAGGCGCCGAGAGCGCGCCTAATTCCCGGGCCAGTACTGTAGCAGGCGCCTAAAGCGCGCCTTATTCCCAGGCCAGTGTTGCAAACCTGGGAAGAGTTCCCGCCTTTCCCACTACTTCTTCTCCCCTTCCCTTTTCTACAGTTATCTTCCTGAGCTGGTTTTCTACACGAATGTGCCAAATAAAAAAGGACCGCGCCACGATCAAAGGCTCTATGGTTCTTTCTCCAAGAAGTGTTTGCAGGTGCTCCAGGACGTGTTAATGTCCTTTATATTTAAGAATAACTTCTAATAATGGGGCTTCTGCTTGGCACTGTACACAATTTATCCTACTCTTACCTTTACAACCACCATTATTATCATACCCATTTTTTACACAGAAAACCGAGCCCTAGGGATGCCAGGCACTGTGCCCATCCATGGTCATCCCAGCAAGTTTGACTACAAAGTCCGTGCACTTTTCACCGTATTACTGTCATCTTATTTCAAAAGAGTATATAATGGTGAGGTTCCAGGCAGGAGGGGAGAGGGAAGGTATTTTGGGCAAGAAGATCATTGGGCAGAGCCTTAAGAAATCCTGAGTGCCAGGGGTCTCCTCCTCTTCCTCCTGCTCTGCTTCAGGCCTCTTTCTCCTTGCTGAGTCTCCCAAAGCCAGAAGTTTGGGATTCAGGAGTGCTGGGTTTCCCAGCCTGTCTCTTCACTTTTGCTCAACACTACGGGGACACTGACGGGGGCAGGATGCTACATGCATTGGCTGCTGAGCTTGTTACGTGCAGACACAGGAGGGAGAGGTGAGGAGACCCACCCTTGCATTGGGGCCACATTAGGACTTTTCTGGACCCTAGGCATTTTTGCCTTCCTGGGCCCCTTCCTCCATAAATATATATATTTTATACATAAAACTCTATATATACATAAAACTATGTATATACATAAATATATATAAAATGTATTTCACATATATAAAATATGTATAACTATATATACATAAATATATATAAAATATTTCACACATATAAATATATATTTCACATATATTTAATATATATATTTCACAACTGTGTTGGTATAAAGATAAATGTAATGTGGCTTGGATTATATTAATTTTTTCTTTTGATTTCAAAAGCAATGAAAACATTTTCCTGGGCTCCTAAAATTATGGTGGGCAGTGGGTACTGTGATTACTGTGACTAATGTAGAAATTCCCCTGCCTCATGTTCCCAGAGGTGGCAGGTGCAAAACCAGCTAATAGGTGGTTGGCTGACCAGTTCATTTTCAAAAAGAGGTCAAGGGATGGCAACTCCACAGCCCCTCTCTGACTTTAATCACAATATTTCTTCCTCAGGTTAGCTCTTGCTGAGTTCTGCTAGCCTCCCTCTCTTTTGGCCAGATGCCTGGTGAAAAATTTTGGCTTGGGATGAGTTACCACGTAAGAGATCCATACAGGTTTTCATCATGGTGTGCAGTAGCTTACCTAGTACATTGGTAACAGCTCAGGTGTGTTCTCTCGCATCTTAGATTTCCATGGTTTACTCCAGTGTTTTCTAAACCTCATTCATGTGCCCCTTGCTCATTTTGCCATACCTGGGTACCAGCCATGGTCGTATTTAATTAACATGTTTACTTAAATTGATTCACTTTTTGAAAACCTTAAATACCTAATTGGACCTCATGCTAGGCAAAAATAGCTGTGACTTCAAGGCTTCGATATACCAGATTTATGGGAGGTAGAATGTGACAGTCGTTGAGAGCAGGGACCCTGAAACCAGAATGCTGGTGTCTGAATCTTAGTTTTGATTGCTTGTTAGCTGGGTAACCTGGTGAGTTGCTTATTCTTGTGCCTTTGTTTTTCTCATCTGTGAAATAGGAATAACTAATAATACCTACTTCATGGGGTTGTTGTGAGGATTAGTGGAAGTAATCACAATAGCTAACACTTAGCTAATTCTTGCTATGTGGCAAACATTGTTCAAAGTGCTTTCTGTATATTAACACATTTAATTCTCCTAACAACCCTATGGAGGTAGATGCTGCTATTATCTTCATTTTACGGATAATGTTATTGAGTCACAGAGAGGTTAAGTAACTTGTCTAAAGGCACCCAGCTAGTGAGGTTTTGGACCTTAGATTTGAATTTTCTTAAAATGATGCTTTATAGAGAAAACATGTTCAATAATGGTACTATTATGATTTTTTTTAAAAAAATAAATATACTATCCAGTCATTTCTAGTATATTCAGTGCTTTGCAACTATCACCACTGTCTAATTCCAGAACATTTTCATCACTCTGTAGAGAAAGTTGGTACCCATCAGCAGTCATTTCCCAGTCCTTACCTCCCTGCAGCCCCTGATAAACACTAATGTACTTTCTATCTCTATGGATTTTCCTATTCTGGATATTTCATACAAACGGAGTCATGCAAAATGTGACCATTTGTGTCTGGCTTCTTTCACTTAGCATCATGTTTTTGAGGTTCATGCATTTGTAGCCTGTGTCATATCTTTTTATGGTTGAATAATATTCCATTCTATAGATAGACTACATTTTGTTTATTCATCTGTTGATGGACATTTGAGTTGTTTCCACCTTTTGGTGATCATGTGTAGTGCTGCCGTGATTGCTATGAACATTTGTGTGCAAGTTTTGTTTGAATATGAATTTTCAGGGTTTTTTTGGGGGGTTTATACTTAGGAGTGGAGTTACTGGGTCATATGGTAATTTTATGTTTAACTTTTGGAGGAGCCATCAAAGTGTTTCTACAGCAGTGGCACCATTGTACATTTCTACTGGTAGTGTAAGAGGGTTCCAATTTATCCACATTCTTGCCAACACTTGGTATGTTCTGATTCTTTTTTTTTATTATAGCCATCCTTGTAGGTGTGAAGTGGCATCATTGTGGTTTTGATTTGCATTTTTCTAATGACTACTGATATTTAGCATCTTTTAATTTGCTTGTTAGCCATTCATATATCTTCTTTGGAGAAATGTCTGTCTTTTGCCCATGTATTGCTTGTCTTTTTATTGTAGAGTTCTAAGAGTCTTTATATATTCTGGTTACTAGACTCCTTATGATGTGATCCTTTAAGTTTTCTTTTCAGTTTCTTGATAGTGTTCCTCGATGTTTGCAATCACAAGCCTGTCCTCATGTGGCTTTAGAGTTCAAATGAACACTATAAGCACAGTCTAACTCATTCCCGGTAGCAAATCCAGACATGTGGCAAAAGCAAATCTATTTTTTTTTCTGGAGGAGTCTACCCTTAACTGAGGCTTTAACAAGATTCTCACAGACAAAACCTAGACACACACATTTTTTTTAAAAGCCACCATCAGCACAAATAAACCAAAGATGTAGATCTCCAAAGATTTATTATCATGTGCAAACTATTTAAAAACGTGTTTATCATGTTTAAATAAATGAGAGGATATAAAAACACAAGGGAGAAAGAACCAAATATAAAAAAAGGAAGCAAATAGAAGTTCTAGAACAGGAACTAAAAGATTAATGTATTTTTTCTTTTTTATTGTGGTAAAATACACGTAGTGTAAAATTTCCCATCTTAACCATTTAGAAGTGTGCACTTCAGTAGCACCTAGTACATTCACAATGCTGTGCAGTCATCATTACTATCTAGTTCCAGAACATTGTCATCACTCCAGAAGGGAACCAGTACCCATTAAGTCCTCACTCCCCATTCCCACTTGCCCCAGCCTTGGCAACCATAAATCTACTGTCTTTCTCTATAGATTTGCCTATTTGGACATTTTATATAAAGGGAATCATACAATATGTGGCCTTTTGTGTCTGGCTTCTTTCACTTTGCATAATGTTGCCTACATTCATCCACGTGGTGGCATGAATCAGGACTTCATTCCTCTTACTTGGAGGCATCAGATACTAGCCTCCAGAAGCTAAGCATCAGGATAATCTGGAGCTGATGTCCCATACAGAGGCTCGGGGTGCCTCAGTTGTGGCTTTGGCACTACCACACCAAGATGACATACTTATCTGCCTTCCCCTTGCTGAAGGGTGGCTGGCTGATGCAAGCTTAGACTCCCAAGAGGAGTCCGTCTGCCAGGCAATAATCCCTTTGTGAAGGAGCTAATGATCCTTAAATAAAGACTAGAGGTCTTTATTCTGGTCTGTAAACCAGATAGTTTTTAAGGACCTTTGCAGTCAAGACAGCTGTAATATTATGGAAGTTTCATGCTCATAGATTATATTTCTGCTTCAGGTGAGGTCACCTGTCCCGGGATGGATGGGCTTTCTGTTCGTTAAGGCCTGCAGGAGCCCATTCATAGCACTGTGTGGTTTCTAATTCTTACTTCTCCCTACAAGGGGACTCTGTAGTTAGGGATTTGAAATGTTTTCAGTCTCTGACCAAAAGGTCTACAGACCACCCCTGATAATCTACCACAGAAAGACTTGATGGGAAGAATGGGGTAGCTTTGATGAAGTAATGTCTGTTTTTATTAAATATCATTTCTTTGGAGTAGAAAAATAGTAAAAGTTTTTTTTTTTTTTAAAGAAACCTTTGGCTTTCTTAAAAAAATAGGCATTACTTCTTAGAGTTGTAAGGGTCATATGGAGGCTTCTCATACCTACCTTTGGGGGAAGCACAGTTTTCTGTAATTTCTTCAGACTGTTGAGAGTGTGTCTCTATTCACAAAATGAAAGGAAAACTCACTGAGGCTATTTGCATATATGGCCCTAGCTCTTAGAGAGGACAGGAGGGAAGGAAGGACAGCCTGGAGATACCTGGTACTGTGGGTGATTTTATGTGGCAGTAAAAGTGATTGAGTTTTGCATTTCCTATCCTATTTGGAACATCCGGGCCCTTCAAGTTTCTTTCATGAAACGGAATCATTTACACACAAAACCCCAGTCCAGACACCAGGCTTCTTTGCTGTAACTAAGAGTCAAGGATAAAAATTCCATGATTTTTCTTTAAATTCTGCCTAATTTCTTCAGCCATTGTGACCAGAAACGTTGTAGAAATGGCCGTGGCTACAAGCCCTGATGCATGAATCAGACACCCCTCCTAAGGACTTTACCTAGGACATCGCAGGGCTCAAGCCTCAAAAGGCCTGCTCCCTACAACTGCATTCTCAGTAGGGATCCTTCAGAAGGAAGCCTTTCATGGCCTTCTTGATCCTTGCGGGGATCTGGGAGAGTAATTTGCATTCAGTCTGCCTTATGGTGAAAGAAAAATACAGTGTGCTGATTACCATGGCTTTTAGCTATTTCCATTTCTAGCTCAGTTCTCATCTCTGGCAGGACATCTTCCAGTCTTCCCGGTCCACCCAGCCCACAGTGCTCTTGTCTTATGAGGTCTCACAGCACCTGCAGTCGGAACTCTTCATTTGATTCTTATCACACACCCGCTGAGTGTGAGTTACCTCTAAATGTATGTAGACAGGAACGCACGAATGTGTGGTATGTATGTATATTGTATATATATATACATGTATATTGTATGTATGTATATTGTATGTATATTGATGTATGTTTCGATTTCTCCATTAGATTGTCAACTCCTTACACTTCACACACTTCTTAGTGTTCCCCAAAGCAGTGCTGAGAATATAGCAGGCAGTAACCAGTAATCAGTAAAGATTGGTTGGCAAATATGGAGAATATGAGTGGGGTGGCTAGGCCAAGGCCAAGGCCAAGGCTGCAAACTTTTCTTGCTGAGCTTATCCAGAGTTGCCTCTATCCTCTCATTTTCCTCCCAGCTCAGCTGGCATTCCCGAGAGACAAACCGAGGTGGCAAAGTTCTTCCCAGGAAGGGTCTGGGATTTACCTGATGGCTTTAGATGTAGTTTGAGAAACTAGTTAGTATTATATTCTCCTCCCTGTCTGAGGAAGCCTTTGGAACTCCTTTCTGCTTTGAGAAGGCTCTTCTGTCCTGTTCCTTTATCCTTCTTCACTGGTATCCTCCTTTTCCTCCCTATTGTGTGTGCGCACGCACGTGTGTGTCTGTATTCCAGCTCAGTGTCACGTGCTGTGTACAAGGACCACAGAAGTGAGCAAGACATGGAAAGAAAGACATGAGATTTTTTTTTAAAAAAATTTTATTTACTTATTTGACAGAGAGAGAGCACAAGCAGGGAGAGCAGCAAAGGGGGAGGGAGAAGCAAGCCCCCTGCAGAGCAGGGCGCCCAATGCTGGGCTCGACCCCAGGACCCTGGGATCATGACCTGACCTGAAGGCAGCAGCTTAACTGTCTGAGCCACCCAGGCGCCCCAAGACATGAGATTTTAAGATAAAGTGGGAGAAGGCAAATGCCACAAGAGAGGAGCAAGGCAATCTTATGGAAGTTCAAAGGAGGGAGAGGTCACATTCAGTAGAAATCTGGAAATATATGGAAGAGATAAAATTTAAGACGAATCTTGAAGTATGGTTGGGAGTTCTTTTTTACTTTTAAAAAATAAGTATCTTTTTCCTTCTAATTATAAAAGTAATGACTGACTGCTGCGATAAATTTGGAAAGTATAAAGAAGCCAAAAATAATATAAGTTCACCCATAACTTTATCATTCAGAAATGATAGTGACAAATTTCATTTTTTTAAAGATTTTATTATTTATTTTTTTTTGA